CTATTTGAATATTTTCCTTTTATAGTAAAAACAAAGAACGTGACAGAAGGGCGGAGGGCTGGGAGCAGAAGGCAGGCCCTGTGGAGGGGTCATCCTAAGTTCAACGCTGGATATGAAGTTGAGGCTCCGGCCATGGGGGGAGGTGCCAGTTCCCTGAGTGAACAAAGCCATCTCCTCCAGGAAAAGCCTGACCTGGACACGGGGGATGACAAACGGCCCCTCTGTCACCCCCACAGAGCCAGGCTCATGGCTGTGATTCCTGGCTGAGGCTTAGCCTTCTCTCACAAAAGCTGCTCATGCTGGGAGGACTTCGAGACAAAGAACCAGATCATTCTGAGATGCTCCCTTGCTCAGGAGTGAGAAAACGCTATCTGAAGTCAGAGCACCTTTCTTTCTCAAGAGCTCCCACCCTGCCAAGGCACATATGTGCTATACTCAACAAACGCTGCTGGCTCCTCGCCAGGCCTGTCGCAGGTTCTGGTGGACAAAGGCATGCAGGAAGCAATGGAGAAGAGCCCTGTGTCTGTTCAGCCGAGCCCAGCCTTTGTACGTTTCTACCAAAATAGCGCCTGCTGCTTGCCGTTACATAAAATCTGATCAGATCAGACTGGAAATGTGAGCCGAGTGATGCAGGGCCACCCAGATCTGAGTCCCTCCACCCCTCCCCCCCGGGAGAGAACACAGAGCTATTTCAGGTGGTTTTGGGCTTGAAACGCAGTGTCCATAGGACTCAGGTGATGGGCCAAACCGGCCCTCTACATGGCCATGGCCCTCTACACTTAATTTTAGTTTTTCCATTTTTTTAATAGAGACACAGGAACAGGATGTGTTTCTTTACTCCAGAGCAGTGATTCTTAAGCTTTAGTTGCATCAGAACCACCTGGAGGGCTTATTGGCACACAGCTGGCCCCACTCCCAGAGTCGCTGATTCAGTAGGCCAGGGGCGTGGTCAGGGGATTTGTACTTGTAAGAGGTTCCCTGTTGTCTCTGCGTTGGGACCCACAGCTCTAAAGGAACCTACAGTGCAAAGAGCGACGTATGGCCATTTGATCCTTGACTTCAGGTAACAGGATGGGCTGAAGACTGCGGTAAACTAGAAAATGTAGCATGTAAAGGGTGCAGCTGCAGCAGACATATTCCAGGGATGCATGCGGCGCAGGAATAAATGGGGGCCCAGTGTTTCCAGGGCCCTTCCTTTTCTTGTTGCTTTTGTTAAGAATAGCCAGAAATATAGGTTTTTCTGTGAAATCTTACAATCTTTGGCAGTCGTTGGCAACTGACTCTGAAGTTTTTCAAACATTGCACAGGCCAAACAAAACACATCTGCAGGCTGGGTTTCACCCTCTGGCTGCTGTTCTAGAATACAGATAAGGTTCCCATGGAAAAGAGGCAGGATGGGAGATCTCCGAGCCAGAGAGAGCCTCTGCCCTTTAGGAACGGATGGTGGCCTGGCCACACCTCTCCCAGCAAGGGCTCACAGAGGCCTGTCAGGGTCACATCAAGTCTCCCTGTCAGGTTCTCCTGGCTCTCTTGTCTCCCAGCCGCGTCTTGCACTCCAGCCATGCCGAAGTCTGCAGACTGCTCCTCTCTCACCTCTGAAACTCCCTCCCAACCAGGCTTTGCTGACCCCGGGCCTTTGTCAATGTGGTTCTCTCTTATTGGAAAGCTCTTATTCTTTTCTCCACATCTGCTGTAATTAGTCCTTTAGGGCCCCTCTCAGCTGTCACCTCCTCTGGAACTTTCCCTGATCACTGCTTTCCCACTCCCAGCTGTGTGCTCCTCAGCCCACTATGCTCCCATCATGCATTGGGCTGTAACGGCCTGAACATGTGCCCATCTCCTTCACTGGCCTGGGTGTCCCGAAGGCCTTGTTGCCTCTCCGACCCCAGGGCCAAGCCCAGGTCCTGGTGTGGGACAGCTCTTGGCCTTGGCCTTTCTCTCAACCCTTTTCTGTTTGCCTGGCTACTTCCTGTCTATCCTTTAAGCCACAGTTCAGACTCCACTTCCTGTGGGAACCTTCCCTGACCTCTCAGACCAAGCAGGGAGTGCTTCTCTGCCCGTATTGGCACACTGTCAACTACATCGTGATTGGCTGCTTCAGTCCATCTCCTCCTCACACTGAACTCCGTGAGGGCAGGAAGCGTGTGGGATTTGTCTCATTGATACAGGGGTTGCAGATAGCGGAAGCACCATGAGATGCTTGTGGGGTCCAGAGAGGAATGAAAACAATAGATGAACGAAAGATCCCAAGTGAGAACGGGACTCCTGTAATATGCTGGGAACAAACTCCTCTGGGTCACTGCTCCTGGCTGGTGGGTGCCCCGGGTGAGGCAGAGAGGGTAGCAGTGAAAGTTACCTTTGGCAACCACCTTGTCCAGCATCCCCAGCGGCCCTCAGCTCAGCGGGTGGCCTCTGGGCACCCTGCTCCCCTCCACTCACAAGTCTCCGGCCTGACAGTTGCTCTAATTCTATCATCCCACCCCTATCCAGCCATGTCCTTCCCGTAAGTCTAAAGCTGCACACCACCCAGCGGGCAGCCCAGGGAGAACGGCTTCTCTGCACTGCATGGGGCTAGAGGAAGGCTTGAGCAGAACAGAGGGGCTGTTCTACCTCCCAACAGGCCACAACACGTGAGTGAAGGGCTGTCTACTTGAGAGTGGGCATTCCTGAGTCCTGGGGCAGTGACAGGAACTGTGCGTCCTAGACCAGTGGCTCGTCTCCACTGTCTGCTCGACTACTGCTTGATGCTCGGTTGACACTGACACTGTATTGAGAAGAAAAGGTGGCCCTTGTCTTTTCCTTTGTATCCGAAACCCTCCCTTCCACCTCCCCGCTTTATTTTACAATGAAGCACAGAAGTCACCTCTTTCAGAAATTCTTCTGGGATCCCCTTCTCTGGGTAGTCCCAGTCCCCTCACTCCCACCCTGGGCTTTTCTTTGCCACACTGTGTTGCAAGTATTGGTGTGCCTGCCTCCACTGCAAAGACTGCATTACTGGACATCAGGGCCTGTGACATGCTCTGCTGTCCTGTGCCTGCCATGGTGAGCAGCGTGTGCGGACAGCCACTTGGTCAGTGCAGTGGTTAACTCAAATCCCCCCTCTGCACTGACTGGACCTCCCCAAGGTCACACAGCAAGAAATCCTGCCGTGGTTTTCTTTTCTGTAAAATGAGGTTGGAAAGGGTGTTGTGAAGATTAAGTCAGTTAATGTAACATTAGAGAAGCATCTGGCGCAATAGTAAGCACTTGCTGAGTACTGTGTTTGCTAGTATTACTAGGTGATCAATAAATGTTTCATGTGTTAATGGATGAGGAAAGGAAGGAAAGAGTGAAGATAATTAGTACAAGCCAGCACCTTCCAAAGTTGTGTGGACCCGAAATAAAGGTTCAAAGTGATCTGTGAGTTCCACAATAGTGAGTGGGGGGGTAAGGATTATTCTTAAGGAGCAAAGTTCCATGCGGTGTACCAGGGAGCAGGTCTTGGGCAGTAATGAGAAAGGCAGATCCCACCTGAAGGTCTCCTTCCCTATTGTGAGTCTTTTCTGCAGATTAAGAGTCCTTGAGATTTTTAAAGGTACAACCTGACATTTCCCTACAACAATGTGTTTTCTCCCACTAGTGGTCCTTTCAAGGACACTCCCTGCTGACTATCCCTTCTTCCTCATAATTCCAAACAGACTCAGATACCAGTCCTGACTGCCTTCAGATGAATAAACAAGGTGGGGAGATGAGTCATCCAGGCTCCAGACACCTATTCCCAGACACAGGCAACCCTTCAACTACAATCCTAACAGGCCTCAGCTATCTTGCTTCTGCACAGACTACCAGCAGAGAAGCTGGCGGAGAGCAGGAGTGTGGGTTTCAACATCAGAAGGCCTCGGACTCAAGTCTCATCTCTTACAAGTCTCTTCCTCTCTCTGAGCCTCAGTCACTACATAACGTGGGGTTACTTATCCCTCCCTTGCTGTGCTGTGCTGTAAGATGACTAGCACAGTGCTGTACACATAGCAGATCAGTGGTAAAGACCCTTGGTAGATTGTGGGAGGGGGTGGGTGAGGACCCCATAAATAAGCAAGGCGGCTTCTGGGATGAACATAAGCCAGTTCTGAACCCAAGACTACAGAAGGGAGAACGAGAGTACCTTGACCTCTCAGCAACCAGAGAATGTTGATGGAGGCCTGGGGCTGGCCTTCTGGAGTCTGCTATTGCAGTGCTAATTGGGGTGTACTAGGTCAGTAGCTTCCCACCCTTGCGGGAGGTGAGCTCTTGGCCTTTCCTCTTTCCGCATTGCTGTTTCCTCTGGCCTGGGCTGGAGGGGCACTGACTTACTGACTAGGTGTCAACAGCAAAGTTCAAAGAACCGCTCAGCAGGCATTAGATGACAGGGTGAGGCAGGGGATGGCCAGAAGCCAAATCCCAGCTTTGGGGCAAGGACGGGCAGATCAGAGGGCTTCCAGCAGAGATCAAGGTGCCCCCGGGCTTCCTGGAGTGACTTCACACTAGGTCATACAGAAAATTTACACTTCAAAGGGGTTACCTGCGTTTCTTTTTTCTTTCCTTTCTTTGCTTTTCCTTCCACCAGCCCATAGTGAGCCAGAGAACAGCATCAACAGACCTGCCTTGAACTCCAGGTTCCCTAACTGTGCTACTCTGGGCATGTTACTTCATCTCTTTGAGCCTGTTTCTTCATCTGTGAAATGGGCATATTCGTATCTGCCTCAAAGGTTGTGTGAGGCTTAGGTGAAGTCATGTGCATGAAGCACCCGGCAGAGTGCCTGGACGCAGTGGAGACACAGCACATGGCAGCCTTCATAACCGTCACCTTCCAGTGTGGAGAGAGCAGGATGCTTCATGAGTCGGTGCTGCCCACCGTGGGGGCTGGGAGTGGGAAGTGTTTTCAGACCTTTAGAGCACAAGGGCCCTTGCTCCCTCTCAGATGAACTAGCCCAACCCTTGGTCAGGGCCCCCCCGCCCCGGTAGGAGACACCGCGAATCCTCACCATGCACTTGCGGTCATCAATGCCTGTCAGATCCTCCTCAAACTCCTTCCCAACCTGGAAGTCCATGATGTAGTTCCTAAAAGTGCTCAGCGTGCGGATGATCATATGGTCACCGTCCTGCACGATCTCTTTGTCTGGCTTCAGCAAGTTGGCTATTTTGCGCAAGGCAACGTTGACGTCTGCGGGGGGGGGGAGGGGGGGTTGCGGGTAGAGAGAGCGGCAGAGTTGGCAGGAAGACTCACAGAACCGTTCCCTAGGTAGAGGAGCCCAGGAGCCCGCTCCGCCCGCGAACACTGTTAAGGTTTCCGCTGGCTTCACGCTGTCTCAGCACACAGACTGCCTGTACCTCCCCCACCCCCAACAAAGTTTCCTGCTCTTATGTTAACCGTTTAAAAACAACAACTAGTAAACCAAACCCAGATTTACTAATGAAATTACGCACGTCCAGGGCCAACAAGCAGACATTTGCCACCGGTTATCCTAACAATCCCGAATTTTCCAATCCGCAACCTGCTGGCTGCCCTGGTAGCGGAGGACGCCTTTTCTGGCGTCCAGAAGCACCGAACAGCGGCTCGCTGGGGCGGCGGCAGGAGGGCAGCGGCTCCGGAGGGCTCTGGGGAGAGGCCTGGAGCTGCTCCCCGGGGCGCCCCGGGCGCGGCGGGCAGCGCTTACCGAGCGCGCGCAGGTACTCCTCGAAATTCTCGTTGGCCAGCATCTTCCAGTACCCGGTGAAGTCGACTGGCATTTCGGGGAGTGACTGAAGCCAGGTGGCCACGGAGCGGGCGGGACGGCTGGAGGCTCTGCCGGGACAGCGGCTAGGCTAGCAGGTGCTACGAGGGTGGTGGGCGGCCCGGAAATGAGCGCCCTCCGGGGACAGGGGGCTCTGCGGGGCGGCGACAGCTGGATTCCGAGCGCGCACAAAGCCTGCGGGAGGATCCATTGTGGCCGTCGCTCCTCCCCTCCTAGCGAGGGCGAGCGCGGGGGCGGGGGCTGTCGAAGGGTCAGGTTTGTCCCGGCCGCGCCACCTTCGTTTCAGACGTTCAGTACGTTTCCCCACAAAGGAAGAGGAGAGGAGGGAGACGCGAGGGTTGCTTTGTTGGACGAACTCTTTGGTTCCTGTGGATTTGCTTCAAACGCCATGAACTTCTCACACTCAGCAGCCTCTTGAAACAGTCACCTGGGGGTTGCTGGCGTAATTAGGGAAAAAGGCCGCTTAGAGGCCTTTGTCTAAAGCCTCGCGCCGGTGGTGGCTGGGGTCAGGAAAGCGGGGCGGTTCAACTAGGGGCGAGAAAAGTGGGGCACTGTCCACGTCTCTCCTGAAAATAAAGGAAAGGATGCTGGGCGCGGTGGGGCGGCTCACGCCTGTAATCCCAGCACTTTGGGAGGCCGAGGCGGGCGGATCACGAGGTCAGGAGTTCGAGGACCAGCCTGACCAACATGGTGAAACCCTGTCTGTAATAAAAATACAAAAATTATCCGGCTATGGTGGTGCGTGCCTGTAATCCCAGTTACTCAGGAGGCTGAGGCAGAAGAATCGCTTGAACCCGGGGGTGTGGAGGTTGCAGTGAGCTGGAGTTGTGCCATTGAGCTCCAGCCTGGGCGACAGAACAAGACTCTCTCCCTCTTTCTCTCTCTCAAACAAACAAAAAAGGCTGATGTTATTTGAAGTGCATGTGGCTAAAAAAATCTTCTGGGTGATTCTGACGCACAATCAACTTTGAGAGCCGCTGCTTTATGCAAATGTAAGCAATAGACTCTTTATTAATGTTTCCTCCCGTTTTACCTAATGGCCGCACTGTACTCCATGGCGTTCTGCACTTTGCTTTATTCACTTAATATATTCTGGAGACCTTTCCATAATTGTACATAAAAAGCATCCCCATTATTTTGCGGTATATTCCATTGCTTACCCAGCTTGTCCCCTGACGGACAAACTACATTGTTTCCGATCTTTCACTATTAAAGGCAGTACTGCAATGAAAATCTTTGATCACATCTCCTTTTCCACCTGTGTGGGTATGTCATAGAGTTTTAACACAGCTGTATTTGCCACCAAGGAGATGACATAATCATGTGGGCTGACTTTTTGACCCTCTTTTTAACAACCTCTTTTTTAAATTGCTTTTTTGCACAAATCACAGCCTAAGTGACAGATACGTTTTTTTCCCCTCTAGCATCACCTTCCCCAGGCTGCCTCCCTGGGGCTCACGTGTATTCTCACAGTGCAGGCTGAATTAGAAGAAGCCTCTTCCTTGGGTTAGAGGCAGCTTCCTCCCAGGCAGGGACTTGGGTTTCAGCCCTTCTCACCCTCTTACTCTACGCTATGGTTTCTTAACCTCTATGCTACTGACATTCTGGGCCACATAAGTCTTTGTTGTGGGGGGCTCCCCTATGTATTATAGGATGTTTAGTGGCATCCCTGGCCCCTCCCCACCAGATCCCAGGGGCACCTACACACAAAGATGTCTCCAGATATTGTCAAAGGCCCTGGGGTGTGGGTGGTGGGTGAACCAGCCCTGGTTGACAGCCACTGCTCTAGACAGCTGTTCCCGCCATTCTGCCCCTGTTCCCCACTGCATCTTTGTCTGGCTCTGGGATGGTCAGGTCATCCGTTGTTCACACAATCACTGGCTCTATGTCCCTTCCGAGCCAGCCCAGGGCTCATCTTGGCTGGACTCTCAGGGCAACCTATCCCAGTCCTTCCAACCTGAAGGTGCAGTAAGACAGCTCTGCAGGGATGGATGGAGCCTGGCCTGGGTTCTCTAAGGCAACTCACCAGGGTCAGCCATGCTCTGGGCTTCCTTGTTGTCCTGACTCACCAGAACAGAGCATCAGTCAAAGGCTTACGCAGTGAACTGGCCATTCCTTGGTAATTTCCAACTAGTCTAAACTCTTCTTCTCTGATGCCATCCAGCCCAGCTAACCAAATTTCTCATCCTCCCCAAACTTCTTCCTTTGTGCTGAATCTCCTGAGATGGTTTATGCCAAATGCCCAGCATAGGGCCTGGCACAAAGCAGAGGCCAGTCAGTTCTGGCTCTCTCTATGCTTCAAGTGGCCCCTTCATGCCCGAGACAGAGGCCTGCCCACCTCTCCAGTTCTTCTTGTCTATCCCAAAGAACCGCAAGCCTTCCACTCCTCCCTCCTCTGAGCACGTTGGACAACTCCTGCTCACCTGACCTCACGTTTCTGAGCTGGTCGGCTGAACATATAGCACTTAATTCAGCTGGTTTCATTCAGCTTCTGTCTGCCTCTTTGTCTAGTCTTCCAAATGCGTCAGTACGCTCCTGCTTTTGTGGGTCTCCTCCCAGGAGCGCCCTCCCAGGCACAACCCCTGGTGGCTATGCTATTTCTTGCAGCAAGGGGTAGGTTGCATAGGTAAACTTTACAGGCAGAATGCCTATTCTGCTGCAGGCTGGTCACTGTCTACCTGAATGATTTGGGATAAGATACTTGGTCTCTTCGTGCCACGGTTGCATCTGTGAAATGAGGACACTGTGACCACCCCTCAGGGTGCTGAGAAGCAAAGGATGAAGAATCTACAAGGCATGGCACTGACTACTTTTCCAGACCCACTGCTGTTTGAGCCAGGGGAGCCGTAGAAAGGAGGGAAAAGCCACGGGAGAGAGAAGGGTACTGGTTTGTGTCCCTCTTCTGGGGCTTTAAGATCAGTCCAATGAGGTGAAATGGGGAATGCTCTTCAAAGCATCAGGTACCATCAAAGTTATCCTTCCTCAGCCACTCTATTATGCTCAATTTAATCCATTTGATTCTTGATTTAGAAACAAAGAGTATTTTTTGGAGTTCCTTTCTGTCCGGGGTGATGTTACTTAGGATGTGTGAAGCAAAGAAAGAGCAACTGAACACATTACATAAGGAAGAAGGAGGGTGTCTGTGTGGGCTTGCAATCAGTGAGGGCTCCCTGGAGGGGGTGAGGCTCTAGCTGGATCTTGATCTTGGACAGCCAGGATCAGAGAGATGAAGACAAGGGAGGATAGTCCAGGGGACTGAGGAGGTAGATAAGCAATGGAGTGCCAGAGTGCCAAAGCAATGGCAGACTTGTTAATGACTGAGAGAAAGAGATGTCAATTCATGCAGGCATCCCTAAATGGGCTTGCTTCATTCATTAGCTTTAAAGAAGAGCACTAGAGATCTACAACCAATATTTGGAGGCCAAAGAGCTCCCAAGGCCACAAAGAAAAGCCAGGCCAGTGAGAAATCACCCTGGCCTGTGTGTAGAGTGAGATAGACAGGCACAAAGAACAATTCTGTGTTGGGGAGGAGAGGAGAGAACCAAGGTGGAGAGTGAGGGGAGCTCAGGGACACCGTAGGCCCTCCCTGTAAGGATAGGAAGGAAATGTGACTTTTCATTTTTCAGCTGATCAGTCAACTCCACAGGAATAAACCAGAGCTCAGAAAAATATGTCCACGAACTGGGCATGGTGGCTCACCCCTATAATCCCAGCACTTTGGGAGGCTGAGGTGGGTGGATCTGGTGAGGTCAGCAGTTCAAGACCAGCCTGGCTAATATGGTGAAATTCCATCTTTACTAAAAATGCAAAACTTAGGTGGGCATGGTGGCACATGCTGTAGTCCAGCTACTTGGGAGGCTGAGGCAGGAGAATCGCTTGAACCCGGGAGGCAGAGGTTAGGGTGAGCTGAGATCGTGCCATTGCACTCCAGCCTGGGTGTTGCAGTGAGACTTTGTCTCAAAAAAAAAAAAAAAAGAGAAACAAATATGTCCATGAAACGATGCCTTGATTGCCTGCTTTGTGAGGTGGGCAGTCCTATGCTTATATCACTGCAAATCAAGCTCTATCCCCAGTTGTTGGGGTACAGAGCTTCCCAAAGGCAATGAGGTTGGAGCAGAGAGCCCTGAAACAGACCCAAGGCTCTGTCCCCACCCCCCAGAAGGTATTTTTCTCAAGACCCTGGGGTAGGGGGTGACTTGCAGTCTCCTTCCACCCTCTCTGCCAGGTCTGCCACACATCAAGAGATTCACTCCTAGCAGGGGACAGGTGGTCTGGTACTTCTCCCTCATCTTGTAAGAAAATATTTATCATCTGGCTTCCCTGGCCACCACGCCCCTGCTTTTCTTCTCAAGGGATCTTTGTTATCTTGTAGACCTGTAAAACCTTCCTTTTTCCCATATTCAAATATGTCTCCGGAGTTATGCTATGGAGAATGACCCTGCTCCAGTCTCTGAGCTGTCACCATGCCATCTGTGAGGTTAATGACTGAAAGGATGAGAGTGGCCCCAACAAAGCTGCCTTCCTGCATGGGGGAGTGAGAGAGCTTGTCAAGAGGCCACAGAGGCTGAGGGGCACTGAGGTCTACTGAGGACATTCCTTTTTGATGAGTTCATGAATATTCAAACATGCAAATGAGACACCATGTCTACAGGCCCCAGAATCTTCAACCCGCTTTTGATGGAGGCCTGTGGATTTATTTCTGTGTAGAAAATGGTTCTGCAGAGTGGGTCAGCTACTTTCTGTCTGACCCTCTTCATTTAATCACATATTTGTTTCTCAGATTATGACATACAGTACAAGAGATGGGCTTCCTCTTCCTCTTTTTTTGTTCTCTCTCTTTCTTAGCTATTTTGTTACAGAAAATCTTGAACCTATGTAAACTTAAGGAGAATAGTATATTGAGCCACCATGGATTCATTCCCTAGCTTCAACAATTATTAACCCATAGCCAAACTCGTTTCATCTATATCACCACCTACTCCCCAATTTCCAAAATTATTTTGAGGCAAATACCAGATGTCATATCATCTGGGGACATTTCAGAAAGTATCTCCCAAAGATAACTCATTTTTTTAAAAGCTTAAAACAACATGAACTTTTACGATTCTGAAAGTCGGAAGTCTGAAATGGGTCTCATGGACTGAAATCAAGGTGTTGGCAGAATTGCGTTCCCGCCTCAGGCTCTGGGGAAAATGTCTTCCTTGCCCTTTTCAGCTTCTAGATGTTGCCTGCATTTCCTGGCTCATGGCTACTTCATTCTGACTGTTGCTTCCTGCCTTACATTTTCTTCTCTGACTCTCTTGCCTTTGTATAGGTACCCAGGTGATTGCATTGTGCCCACCCATGTAATCTAGGGTAACCTCTCCATCTATAGATCTTTAATTTAATCACAACTCGAGTCCCTTTTGCCATTGAAAAGGTAACCTATTTGAGATTAAGAAATGAACATCTTTGGGAGAACCATTATTTTGCCTACCATACCAAGGAACAACAACAACAACAACAAAATATCCTTTTCCAGTAATAAAAATGTCAGTCAATATAATAAGCAAGACCTTAATGTGATCTCAACCTTCTTTCTGTCCCAGTTTATGACTTTCGGCTGGAAAGCTAAAGGAAATTATTTTTCTGGATTTTGCTTTTCTGTGTTACCCAGCAAGCTGGGCTTTTTAAATTTAAATTTTTATTTTTTATTCCTCCTGTACTAAACAAGGAAAGGGGGTAGTCATGTTTGACTGGGAAGTTCTCACTTCCACTGTAATAATCTGCTTCTATCTGTCTGGGTTGGTGGGTATTCAAAGGTAGTTCTTTCTCCAGGCACACTTTGGTGCGGCCCTCTGAGATTATCTTGCTGAGAACATAAAATTGCATAGGACTGCAACTTCTTTAGATGACTGCTTCTAAGAAGGAATCATTTTTTGGAAATGTAACCACAACATTATCATAAGTAGAAAAAAATTATTAATTCCTGATGTCATCAGATATCCAGCAAGTGTTCACTTATCTCATTTTTTCCAGTATATTTGTTTGAATTGGGATCCAAAAAAATTTTATAC